TGTGTGTGTAAATATGAGAGTTTAGGTGTGAAATATGTGAATTCATGAGAACTGTGCTATGTATGTAAATGCCCCGAGATAATATCAAGTTCTGCGCGTATCAAACCTCTCAGCGGGTTCTATGGCTACCGGGCGGTCTGGCTGTCGATGATTTTGCTTTGGCGAAATCAACCAGGTCTTTGAATAAAATGTCCTCGGGTTTAGTTTGCCGTGCAGGTGTTGATGAATCTTGTCCGCTTGAATGCTGCGAAACCTTTGGCGGATTGAGAGATAAATCCTCTGTCTTTGACGCCAATCCGTTGAATGTTTCTGAATCAGACGAAGATGAGTGGTGGTGGTGTTGCTGCTCGAAGAACTGCTGTCGTTGGCTGTGTCTTGAAGGTGGAGGGGGGAGAAAATTAACTGGCTGAGTTTCCCAAGGAGCCTTTGGAAGATTTTCATTGGATTTTGTGTGGTGAATAGGTTCTTCATTCTTGGGCTCGTCGTATTTGGGCGGTGGGGAGAAGATAGAAGGCGAAGGTGGTTTGAAATTAGCTTCAGTTCGTCTTTTTTCTTCGTAGGAATCGCCGCTGAGGTAGTCGACTGGAACTGAATCATGGGAAGATGGCTTCTTAGCTGATAGTGGTGGAGGGGGTGGTGGAGGAAGAATAGGACTAGAGAAAGACTGTTCAGCCTTATATGGTCTTTGTTTTCCGGCTGCATTCTCTCTAGCGCTCCTAAAAGAGGAGTCACATGTTTGTCAGTAGTTTGGTAAGAAATAAGGAGATGAAATGGATAGATGATTTATTATGAAGGGCGTTTTTGTAACAAAATATAAGAGAATCTTTTTTTTTTACTGAAAATTTAACATATAAATGATAGAACAGCAATGATGTCAAATTAACAATTTGTAACCGTTCATTTATTTTGGAACAATTGGCATAATAAGAATTAAACAATGTTTTAAACTCCATTTAGGCCCTATTTTTGAAGTCAGGATTTCAGTGATTTCTGCATTTCCAAAGAGTAAAATTAAATATCTTTATGTAAAAAAAAAAGAGAGGAAATAACTACTATTGGCCGGAACCATGCTGGTAATGGTTCAAAATAAGTGCAGGTGCAAGCCGCCACAGCTTGATGTTTCAATATATTATAAAGCATAAAAAATTGCATATAATTAATTATTATAAACTATTCATCAAAATTTCTATAAATTATTATCATCAAAATTTAAACTATTCATCAAGCATGTGAAGTAAACAAGGAAGATTAATCTGTGGAATATAGAAGGCCTCATGTAAACCAAGTTTTGCCAACGTATTTTGCCAATCAAAACCATTCAAGATGTTAAATATCATCATGAACCACCCATGTATTTTATCCTGGCCTATGTGAAAGCCTTGTATACTTTAAGGTACCTTCTCATGCAATTAGAGTCATCAATTAAAAAAAGTTTGATGTATTCGTTTGATGATGAAATGATATCAAGAAGTCTTAAAATAGTGCATGCTATAAAGTTTAATAATATTGAAGAGAATAAATAGCTTTGATATTGTATTTGAAAATAATAACCTCATATCAAAATAGTGTTAAATTGAAAATTGTCAAAATGAACTTCTGACTCTTTAAAGGGGGTCATTTTAGTCACAGAGATTATACAAAAATATTAATTTAGTCCCCAATGAAGACTATTTTAGCCCTTGTTAAAAAAGTTTAGCGACTACTTTAATACTTTCATAAACTCTAAAATAACCTCATCTAAATAGTTAAGGGACTATTTTGGCACTTTACTCTAGTGTTAAATATACATTTTTTTCACAACTTAGAAAAATCATTCAAACAATTCAAATCTCACATGCAAACAGTCTTTTTAGCAAACTTCCAGTCTCATCAAACAACAGCAAATTTATGCTTCCTAGTTGATGTTCATTCAATAATACTAATGAAACAACATGATTAAATCTCAAACTCCTATATAAGAACCCATAATGCCCAACATTCGCCACAACTCCATTCTCGCCAAGCAAGTGCTCTTGAGAAGGTTTTTTCCATTATCGATGGGACACTAACATACACCTGCCACAAATGTTATGTATTTTAACTACTTAATGATGTAGTAGGGATAAAATTACTTTAGCCATGATATTTATTAAACAAGAGAAACGCTTCATGATGATTGCACATTTCGGTTCAACATTCATGAAATAAATGAAACCTATCAATCACATAGCCATTAGATTCAACATAAACGAAGAGGTGCATTGAAGTTTTTGAAGCCGATGTATTGCTTGTTAATTGACTTTGACACTTATTTGAATAAACCATCCGAGAACGACAACTTCAATGTTCTTAGGCTTCAACTTGCACCCATGAGAATTTCACTATTCTTAAAAAATAAAAATAAAAATTCAAAATACTTTTATTTTATATAAAAATGAAGAAAAATATGAAACAAACTAAAAACATATATGAAATAAAAAAATTGTGATCCAAAACTACAAAACAAATATTTGACTGAGGTAGAAAAAAGCTTCTCATACATGTAATTTTCAAATGAAAAGTTCATTTACATTGAATAATTTTTTATTGAAAGTTTTAGCCAATAATCATTATTTTCAATAAAATAGATCCAAAATCAAGTGCGATATTAATTTATGAGTCTATTTATTAAATTTTATTGTAGTGAGGTATTCAAAATAAAGATAGTACAACCAATCAACAATGCAATGGCAATGAATTGGCTGCTATGAATTTGAAAACATTATTTAATAGGAAATCTCAGCATTCAGATTATGAGAAATTTTTTCATAATCATTGTGCTGCCCATAAAACTAACGTTGTCAATCCCAAGTCCGGATGTGAAAGTAGAGGGTTGCGTTAGGTAATCGACAACCAACGTAAAATTTGTCGAAAAAATCATGACATGAATCCTTTTGATCATTATGTAAATGTTAGGGCGTCCCCTGGAAGCGACGCGCTGTATAGCCTGAATACAGTGAAAAGTGTACAAGGGCCGCTACACCGGCACCCGGGTGTAGTGTTAAATTAGCAAGGGTTCCCACATTACGGGCGAATGCGGGTACTAATACTAATATTAGGATAAGATCTTGGAATATAGGTACTTTCAATGGTAAATTAATGAAATTAGTTGATATTATGATTTATAGAAAAACTAATATCTTATGTATTCAAGAAACTAAGTGGGTTGGAGAAAAAACTAAGGAGATTGATAATATAGGTTTTAAACTTTGGTATTCTAGTAAAAGTCGCACTAGAAATGGTGTAGGTGTAATTATAAATAAGAGTTTGAAAGATAATGTTGTAAAAATTAATAGAGTTAGAGATAGAATTATAGCCCTTAAGATTATTAATATTATAAGTGTTTATGCTCCTCAAGTAGTTTTAGATACAAGGTCTAAAGATAAATTTTGGAATGACTTAGAAGACTTAATACAAATGATACCTCTTGAAGAAAGAATTTTTATTGGAGGAGATTTAAATGGACATGTCGGTAGAGTGGTAGAAGACTTCAAAAGTACTCATGGTGACTACGATTTTGGAGTAACTGATGAAGAAGGTAGAGCTATTTTA